GCCATGGCAAGCTTGGAACTTGTTAATGTAGACTAGGAGGACCTCAAAATCACAGTGATCCACCTGCCTCTGCTTCCTGAGTCCTGGGAAAGGTATGCATCACCATGCCTGATTATTTTTAAAGTTTTGTAGGTTTGCTTTCTGTTTGTTTATTTATTTTTTGCAGGTTTTCTTTTTCAAGATAGCATTTCTCTGTGTAGCACTGTCTGTCCTGGAATTCACTTTATAGACCAGACTGGCCTCAAACTCAGAGACCCATCTGCTTCTGCCTCCAGCGTGCGGGGGTTAAAAGTATGAATCGCTACTGCCTGGATTTTGCAATGAACTCACCAATAAAGACATCACAAAATTTTTTATCTACACCATTTTCCTGGTACAGTTCTTCTATATTCTATGGAAAAATAAAGCTACTAAACCATAAATAATTTGTTTAAATTTGCCCTTGTAACAAGCTAAATAGCAGAGAATAACAGTACTCTTAAAATGTAATTAATTAGTTAATTAAGTCTATACCCTATTCTAGGGAGGTCATAGTCCCTGCAGGTTCTCTCAGCCTAAAGAACCATTCTTCATATCTCTTGTGAGCCTCTTGAGCTTCCCCTATTGGCCACAACTGACAACTATATTAATGGAGGAACATGAGGGCGAGGGCCTAGCATCCGAGCCACCTCAGTTTCTAAGGTATTCTCTAGCGCCCGTCCGTCTTTGTGGGTCCTATTTTATGGTTCCTGTTTTTTTAAATTGCTTTGGGCAAATAACTAACCTCCTCAAGTATAAAATGGGGACAATGATTGCATCTACCTCATAGGGTTGGGTGGTTAAACAAGGGAGGAATTTAGAACCAGACTTGGCACACACACACAGGGAGAAAATGCTGGCTGTAATCAGAAGCACTGTTTCTATGAGTCTGAGCAGGCTAGAATGTATCTCTTTCATTGCCAGCGATGCAGCCCAGGAACTGGCACGTGCCGGGCAAAAACTTTACCGTTGAGTCATACCAACAAATAAAGCGGTCCCCCCCCTCCCGCCCCCTGCAAGTCCAGTTTTGGGATCCAGACTTGAAGCTTGGCTTTAAGCAGAGGACAGGGGCTTGTGAAATGTCTCAGTTTACTGCCAAGCCTGGGTTTGATACTCAGAATCTGGATGGTGGAAGGAGAGACCCTGCTCCCCAAAGTTGTCCTCTGCCCTCCACATGCACACTGTGGGGCACATGTGCACACGTAGAAAATAAATAAATAAATAAATAAATAAATGTAAACGTAAGCAAACAGAGGGCAAGAAGTATATACAACAGAGCAGTCCTGGTCAGGGTGTGGTCTAGTTCATCATCATTGTTATCATTATTATCATAATTGTGTGAGATGCTCCTCCTGAGGGACAAGTTCCTTCTATTTGTGGCCTATTGTTTCAATAGTCAGGTAACTGAAGGGTGAGACCCAGGAGCCTCTTACCGTTTTCCTATGGTATTTGCCTGCTTCTTCAAGTGAAGACTCCAGCAACCCAGTTGGCTGGGCGGTTGGTGGTAGTGGTGTTGTTTCCTTCTGAGGTTCCCTGGATCCATCTGTGTTGGTAAAGGATTTCTAAAGAGATGAGTACTGTCTCGGGAAGGTCAGGCTACTCTAACAAGTTGTCATAGATTAGGTTGATAAAAGGGAACATTTGATTTGTTAATCCAAAGATTGAAGGAGAAAGACCAGATCCAAGTCATCATGGCCAAATTAGTTAAAGCAAGCAATTAATTAAAGGAAGCATTTTAAAATCGTGTACATGGGCTGCTCCCCATAAGGTGGGGTTTGAGAAGTCAGCATTGGATGTGAGGAAAACACGGCTTTTTAATAGCTTAGGCTTTCCAAATGGGGGATTTGGCAGGCAAAACAAGTTGGGATACAGGAGCAGAACGTAAGCATAATAAGTTAGCCATAATGACCTCCTGAGACAAAGACTTGAGTGCAAAGTGGTCATAACAAGGTAGTCATAGCAACCCTTTTGAAACAAAGGTAAGGTTGCAAGATGGTTATTAACTTTTTGAAACAAAGACTTGATTGCCCTTACCAGAACAGGTAGTACAGAACCATTTGTAATTAAGGTTACAGGTGGGACAAAGCAGATTTGAGAAACAGATTTAATCATAAACAGGAAAGAACCTAGTTTATCTTTACTATAAGATGGCTTTCAAACCTAAGATGGAGGCAGGCTGGCTCTTCAGTTTCTTGTAGTTCTGGAGGCTGAGAAGCACAAGACCAGGGTGCTAGCTCTTCCTGTCCTGCGTTCAAACGAACTATGCTCACATTCAAATTATAGATTGTGGAAAAAAATGTAAAACAAGCAAAAGAGGCAAAACCCAGAAAAGATGCTAAATTACAAAGGGGAGTATAGAGACTGTGGGTGTCCATGGTAGCCAGTTTACAGAATGACTCTTCAAGGAGTTTCACTCCCTGGTGTTTCCTTTCAGACTGAACAAGGCTAACCTGTGCTAGCAGTGAGATATTCCAGAAAGAGCTGGGTAAGAGTTCTGGAGCCAAGCCAAAAAGATAGTGTGGCTCTCCTTATCCTCTTGGATAGCTCTCTCTGAAGAATCCAGCTACTACATCATAAGGGTTTTAGTATGTGCGCATAGGGAGAAACTGAGGCATTTTGCCAACAACAAGTATCATGAGATGGACCACCTTGAAAGCAGGTTCTCTTGCCTCCTTCATATGAATGCAGCTCACTCAACCCTCAACTGACACTTCTTTAAAAACTTAGACCAGCCTAGCACGATGAGACACATACGCAATATCAGCACTCCAGAGACTGAGTCAACAAGATCACAAGTTCAAGACAAGCCTGAACTAAATTCAGTTCCAGGACTGTAAGAAACAGCAAGACTGTGGTGGTTTGAAAGGAAACGGCTCCCAAAGGGAGTGGCACTATTAGGAGGTGTGGCCTTGTTGGAGGAAGTGTGTCACTGTGCGGGTGGACTTTGAGGGCCCCTTTGCTCAAGCTTCCCTTAGCGTGACTGTCAACCAACTTTCTGTTGCTTGCAAGACGTAGGATTTTCAGCTATTCCTCCAGCACCACATCTATTTGCAAATTGCCCTGTTCTCTGCCTTGATGACAACGGACTGAACCTCTGAAACTGTAATCAAGTCCCCTCAATTAAATGTTTTCCTTATAAGAGTTGCTATGGTCATGCTGTTTCTCCACAGCAATAAACACCCTAACTAAGCCAAAGACCCTGTCTATAAAACAGAGCCACCATTAGAGGCCACTTCTGAATTCTTGACCCACAGAAACCATATGGGACCATAAAGATTTAAGTTATTCCTTAATTCTTAATTAAAATTGTCACACAGCAAAGCAAAGCAATACAATAGCTATTACAAGGTCTGTAATAAGGATGCAATTGCTCTCGAATAACATATATATATCAAGGTATTCTTAAACGGTTTTTTTTTAATGTATTCGCTCACCAGAACATATCAAGAAGCCATTGTTTGCTAGCTGGAAGAAATGACAGTTCAGAAGCCAATAGAGTTGTCTGCTTTCAAGAAGATCAGACTCCGGGGGTCTGAGGTGGGGCGTGGTGGGGTGGCCTGCTTTAAGTGATTGTTGCAGATGTCACTCACACCCCTGCTTCCATGACACTGTCTCCATCTGTGTTGATGTTCTAAGACCATCAACTTTGGCTGGGGCTGCAGTGGCTGGAGAGCTTGCTTGTTCGCTTGGCTGTACAGTTGCTTGGTTTTAATAAGAGTGATCAATACCGTCAGTTCTCCCTTTAAATGCTAATGATGGCTTTAACACAGCAGATGCAGACAAACAGTGTACAGCAGATTAAAATTAGGCTCAAAATTAAATTGCTTACACATAGCAAAGGAGCCAGTTTGGACATCTTGACAATCAGCCACAACCAGCTGACAAATCTTGAATTGTCCTGATCAACACAAAACCTCATCAGTCTCAGCCAGAATGGACATTCTTAGAGAGAGGGCTTGGGACCTGGGACAGGAGAGGACCACTGTCAGGGGGGGTGGGGAGTGGAGGGTGGGGGGTAGGTTTTGTGCATGCCATACTTCCCATTCTTTGTCACTCCGGTGACAGGTAGTAACTGAAAACCTGCATCCAGAGTACTATACTAAGGGTACAAATTCAAACCAGAAAATGAGCCCAATTTCCTACAACGAGAAGAAGCATCATGCGAAAACCTGGCTGGCCTTTCCTTTGAAGGGACTCAGGACACCCAGAAGTGGCTCCTAGTAAATATGGCCAGAACATAACTGGTATCTCATCTTGGAGTTGTGCTCAGGGGCAGACTTATGTACAAGCTCACAAGAGATGGATGTATACGACATCAGAAAGGCAACTGTTTTAACACTAGATCTATTTTTTGGTTTGGAGACTCTGTTAATGACACTTAATGAGTATGTAATTAGAACAAGAGTTTAGAGGATTTGAAGGTTTGGTAGTCTGATTAATTATCATTCCATGCACTTAATAGGTTGAGTATTGTTTAAAAGCTGTATTGGTATCCAAGATATAATGATTAATATAGTATAGTATAATATGATATAACATGACCAAGTATAATCCTTGCTCAATGCAGCTAACAGCTTAGCCATGCAAGCAAATGCAGATAAACTTGGGGCTAATTCCAACAGAGAGGGAGATATATGTGACTGAGTAGCCAAGCGGTTCTGTGTGAATGCACAGGACAGGACAGAGTGACAGCCAGAGATTCTGGAACATTCTCTACAGAGAGGAGCATTTCAGCTGCAGGCTGAAGGCTGACTGTGGAAACAGGCTGCGGGGGGGGAGCGTATACAAAGTTTCCATGTTAACAGACAAAAAGGCGAATTTGTGTGGCTGAATGTGACGCCTGAATGGTTTCCTGAGGGCCTGAGGGAGTGCAATGCTGAAGAAGAGGGCCAGGAGCTTGGTCACATGATCAGCACCACCACAGCTGTGTACTTTGCAGACCAAGTGAATTCCTGGGTCACTTCGGGGAGGTAGTGGGGGCGCTTGTTGGTGAATACTGTTCTGCTAATGTGAGCTTTGAGAGGGCGGCCTGTGTGAAGGTTTCACTCAAGTCTTTTCTCTCAGGCAGACTCTGAGGGCCGAGAGAAACACAGCTTTGTTGGTGGGAACGGGACTTTTCCAATAGAGTGGAGTGAGAGAAACACCAGACATCAGTGCCGAATTTTAGTTGTGAATGAGCTGTAAGGCCAGAGAAGTCTTCAGTTTTTAAGTGTGTTGCCTTGACTGGGCATGGCCACTGGTTGGGCAAGAGGGCGGGAAAGAAGCCACTGACAGTAACTAATGTCTGGGAACTTTCTACCACGGATTTACCACACCAGTCATCTCATAAGGCAGCTGCAGAAATGGCAGGTGGACCACAGGAGCTAGGCCAAGGTCTAACGCTCTCATCTCCTCAGGGCAGCCAGGATTCCAGGTAGTTCTCAAATTCAACAACAGCAAGACATTGTTTAAGGCTCCTGAAGTGCAGTCTCTGTAATTTCAAAATTAATTGATGTTTCACCCTGGACAAGTTCACACAACTAAATCCTGGTAGCTCACGACAGCAGTTTCTGGAGCCAGAGTTCTGGAGCATACCACATCTGTACCGACTTGTCGAGGCGGAAGACTGTGTTAGAGAGACGGCTCCTGGGAAGCTCATACGTCATTTTGGGACCTCAGCGTTGGAAGAGCACAGTGAAATCAGAGTGCCTTGAGGTATGTCTAGGATGTTTTGACCCCGCCACCCTGAACTACTGGCTATTTTGACCACTCTGTTCTCACCCCAGGATATTTTGATTCTGTATTTATAGGCAATTAGATCAGTTATATAAATATTGAGAAGTGTTTCCGTCAAGACAAACACAGAGTGAACAGTTTTACCTTTTAATTTTTCTATGTAGTGTAACACCACTTTTATATTAACCGTGTGTGTGTGTGTGTGTGTGTGTGTGTGTGTGTGGTATGTACGTTGTGTGTGTGTGTGTGTGTGTGCACGTGCGCGGGCACGTACATGGCATGAGTGTGGAGGTCAGAGGATAATATCCAACAGTCAGTCTTCAATTTCCACCTCATTTTGAAGCAGAGTCTCTCTTATCTCTTTGCTTCCCTTTATTCTCTAGCCTGGCCAGCCCTGGAGTTTCTGGGTCATTCTCTGCTTCCCACCCCAGTAAGAACAACGAGTTTACAGCGCTGTCACATCAGGGTTTTGATGCAGGTTTTAGGGATCTGAGCACTGCTTGTCATGCTTGAGCAGCGACTACTTTATCCACGGAGCCATTTCCTGGGCTCTTTTCTATTAACTTTTTCCTTCATAGTGGTTTCCCCCATGGGCTTAATACATAAAGTTTACAAGGAATATTTTATGTATCAGAAAATTTCTTTTCATTTATATTTCAGCTTCTATTTTGCTCAGCTACAACTTATCACTGTCAATTATCTTTTGCAGGAAGTTCCTTAACCTGATTTCCTCGAGAAGCATTCCACATCTGTACCAACTTGCTCAGGTACCATATATTTCGGTCTTACGAAGCTTATAAACTATTTCGGTACCACAGCACTGGGAAAGGCACAGGGACGACAGAGTTCCCAGGTAGACTCCACTGACCTAAAGTTCACTGTCAATGATTTTGAGCACATTGCAGTTCCATTTTTCTCTAGAAGCTACGTTCACTGTGAATCAGATGAAAACAATCATTAGTCTGCTCACTTGTGAGTGCATCTATGTATGTGTCCTGTGGTGTGCTACACACCCTTAGTTCTTACCTAAAAATGTTCCTGTCTGCCTTAACCTGAGCCTCGTCCAGCTAAGAGACTTCCAGACTGTTGGAAAATTATTTGCTTTGTTTTCTGGCATTGAGAACTGAATCCAAGGCCTTATGGATGCTCAGCATGTAACTAAATCCTAGGCTGCTATTTTTTAAAATTCGGTCTTGGCAGTTATTTTGATGATGTATGTCTTGTTAATTCTTGTTCAGCTCTTAACTTTCATTCATCTTCTAACCTGGTGAATGATGTTTGATGACTAAGCATCGTTAAAGGGAGGGATGGAGGGAGGGAGAGGGAGAGGGAGAGGGAGAGAGAGAGAGAGAGAGAGAGAGAGAGAGAGAGAGAGAGAGAGAGAGAGAGAGAGAGAGAGAGAGAAGCCAGAAAAGCACATCTAACTCTTATTCCCTCTTTACAACCAAAAACCAGACTGCAGCTGTTCTTGTTTTGACTCTGACTGGAAGCATCTATGCTGACAAGTATTTTTCTATGAGACATTACAAAGTGGTCAGTTTGGTGGGCTGCTGCAGCAACTTTTTTTGTGCCACTGTACACAAGAAGGATGAGAACATGCAATCACTTTAGTGCCATTTTGGATTTTCTAACTCAGGATCCACAAAAGCAAGATGGTGGCAAGGACCATGACAGAAGCATGTCATTTGTATAGCACCTTTTAAACTGGAAGTGTTAATATTTACCCACCCTGTGTATTTGTTGTGCTAATTCATACAATACTTTGTATTCCTTTCAGAGTGACTGGTTCAAGACTGCATTAGCTATTTATCCAAGAATGTCCTGCCTATTTGGAAACGGCATATTAAGATAGCACTTTGCACAAGCCCTTTTTTGTTTAAACAGGAAGAAATGCCAAAGGGGTGGGGGGGGAGGAGAACTGGAAACAGGCTTTTCTTGATGTGAAGAATTCCAGTGGAGAAGACAGAGGCTTTAACAAGTTGTCCAGCCATGATGAAAATGAGCACCTCACACCCCCCAAACTGACCTTGATTTGCACACCCATTGCTCTACTTGCTAATAAGTACAAATGGTCAACAAAATTAAATTGCTGAACCAATGGTTAGACCATGACAGTTTTCCGAGTGAACGAAAGTCATTTCCTACCATCTTGACTTTAATGCTATAAAAATCCTCGACAATCCCAGCAGATCCCAAGTACTGCACTGAAGCGTATACATATGGTGAAGCCTACTTTCTTTAATACAAGAAGAGAATTCAACCCTATGGAATGCTCACGAGTCATCTGGGTTCCTACAGGGCAGACCCAAGGGCACTTAGTGTTTAGTACCAGTGAAGGTTGAACAGAATCTTAGCATATTGAGAGTAACGTTTGTCTGTTTGACACATGACAGGTTTGTTGCCAACCTGACTTTCTGACTTGAGCAACAGGAAGCATTTCACAGTGCTTCATTCAAATCCCATCCTCCTTTCCTATGTGTCACAAGCTTCCTGCTCTAGACTACACACAGCCTCCTCTTAACTCCCAGCTGCTATGCATAAGCTTGCTGCAAGACTGGTGTTTACTGGCTTCTCTAACAAGGCTAACGGTAATTTCTCTGGCTTTTAGCTTGAGATGGTATTATCTTGCCCCATCTGGTTGTGTTTTTAAATTTTTTTCCCCAGAATTTAGAGTCTGACATCCCAAGGATGCTATATGGACTGTCTTCCCTTTCTTTGTTCCTTCTATGGTGAAGGTAGAAAATAATGCTCAACTAGAGTCCAGGGAGCTCAGGAAAAGAACCAGCCACAAAACCCCAGGCCATTTAGACCTTTTGTTGGATGAACCTTAATGAATGAGATAAACACCATACAATCAACATTAACCTCAGTAATCTTTTTTATTACCTAAAAATGACAATCCAAATCACTTCGATTCTGACCATGACAGAAACATGAATAACTCACTAAAATAAATACTAATGGGGTTGAGATGAGTGAGGCATTGACTTGGGCACAAAATTTGGGGAGGCATTTTTAAAAAAATTTCCTCAGCAATCAAGATAAACGGTATTTTATCGCAGTCGTTAAAAATAATCAATCAAAAAATTCATGATGAACAAAATACCCAAATTTTAAATAAAGTATCAGCCACAGTGTCTTGCTGAGCCATCTTGGAACCTCAGATGAAAGAGAAAATAAGACAAATCCCGTTTTCATCTAGAAATGTGGTTTTTCTGTGGCCCCCACCAGCTTTATCCTAGTTCCAAGTCTGCTAAGGAGAATGTGCCCAGCGTGGAATAAAATGGCACAGCCCTTCCCGCTTCAATATTAATCCAGGGGGACGAAATATGGGCAGGTATTGTCAAGTCTAATCGCCACTACTAGTCAACCAAGGACGATAATTGCGGCCCTGCTTTGGTTGTCCTTCCAATTAAAAGGTGTTTCCAAACTAGTCTTTTTGGTCCCTGGAATCTGAAGATGTCTCGCTACCAAAAGTCCACTGCAGAACCGGCTTGGAAAAACCGATCTGACTGAAGCCATCAAAAGTTCCTCCGCCCGCGGTAGTTGCCCCTCATTCTCTCCTTGCTAGTTTTGGCCGGAAGTTGCCTGTGAGTCTTCTTCCGGTACTCCACTTTAGTCCAGCCCCCTTCGCTCACCCTGCTCTCCTCTTCGCTTGCTCTGGAGACAGCCTCGGGGTGTAGAGGCATCCCGGGGATGGTCCTGGGCACACGACGGTCGTTCGCGTTCTTCTTGAAGTCAGGGGACTGATGAGTGTTCAGCGCTGACTGGGGAAGCCTGTAGAACTTTCCAGAATACCTTTCTCGCGAAGGGGCAGAATGCTGACTTCTCCCACCGTACCTTGCCCTGGGGGAAGAGTTGAGGGATACACTCCCGCGGCCGTATTTGTTTCTGCTGCGGTCTGAGTAGCGGCCCCTCTCGGAGGAGCTGTCGGTGTTGAGGCTGGAGAAGCCGCTGTCCCTGGAGTTGAGGTGCAAGGAGGAGAAGTTTTTGGTCAGCCCGTACTGGGTCGGGGAGGAGCTCCTGGAAGGGTTGATGGGTGTGATCTGCTGGTACTTCACGGGCGTCTGGGTCCGTCTCACCGCGGCGGCATAGGAATCCTGGTTGGCAAAGTATGGGAAGAAAGGGGACCCCAGGATGGGGTTGCTCTGGGAACGCTGTAGAGAAGTGTGGGATGCAATCTGCCGCAAGCGCAGGGTGTCTAACCACTGGCAGTCCGCACCTGCAGGGGAAATGGAAATGAGCATCTTCCATGCCACAAGGCTGAATGCCTAATTCACAAGCCTGGCTCAGGAAATCAGTCTCAAGGCTGCTTGGGGGCGTGCCAAGCATTACTAGTCATGCAAGTTCCAGGCTAGGTATGTAGACCTTTGTCTTGGCTACCACGAACCCTTGGGGGGAAAGGTAAATTGTCATTATGAATATGTAACGTGGCTGGTATTTTCCTGTTTCTGCTGCCATAATTCTAACTGTGTTAGGAACTTCACCTACAAGGAACGATACACCACCACAGACCGTCTTCCCGAACTGCTACTTCTCTACAGTTTTAGCTTCTAAGAGGCCTGAGTTTGAGCTCCTGTCTGCAGGGATGCGTGTCAATGGAAGCTGGGCCTCTTCTGCCCATGACGTACACGCATGTGCCAGCAAAGGACATAGTGTTGTCCTGCCCAAAGCAGAACCGGGGCGGGGTAGCCTGCTGGATTTCGGAAGGCTGTTGTAGTAAGTATGAGCGCAGGTCAGGACTGACACCTGGCGCTCTCCCGACATCACTGTGTTTATAGGCTAGCCAGACACAGCAGCGAGGCCGTGGGCAAAGCCGGCACATTCGGTATGGCAGAGAGGAAAGGAAGAGGTCATCCCTTGAGATTTCATAGCCAAACTTATTTGTCGTACTGCCTCCAGAGCCTACATCCCTTTTAGTGATGGAAGACAATGTATTTTATTTATTTAAATCAGTGTCTGAGGAATTTGGAGGGTCCCTTAAAATGCAGACGGCGTGTTCTGGCCTAGGATATCTGACTGGCTCGTCTGGAGATGGGTGGAAGGGTGTGCATCTCTGACAGGGTCACAGAGGATCCTGCAGGACCACACTGAGACTCACTGAGGTAAGCCAGGTGAAACTGGGTTTCTGCTACTGGCAGGTGCGAAGGGGGGCGCCTGATCTAGCAGGTGACTTCGGTCTTCACATCACAGTGGGAGAGCGAGTAAAAGGAGGGTGGAGGCAGACGAGGGGAAACCGGAGGAAGCCGGACACAGCTCTCCAGAGGAAGTGGTCTGGAGCAATTCTGGCAGGAAGTGGAGGGGGCTGATTTTTTTCAGTGCACACTCTTAAAGAAAGAGTAATTTACTGTTTCTTAAGGATTCTGCTTAGAAGATGTGTATGAAAACAGTTCCAGGCCAGCCAGGGGCACATAAGATTCTGCCAAAATGAGAAAGAAAAGGCAAGAAGTGCTGGTGCTAGCCGTGGCTTTGTAGGAATGTGAGCTAGCAGACTCACATCTTTATTTACAGATACACTTATAGAACCTAGACAAGCAGCCTTCCCGTCTCTGCAATGTAATGTAACTACTTTTCATCATTACGGTCATCCAGATATTAAATTTGTACAATGTGATCACATCTATGTCTATAAATACAACTCTCTCATCTATTTATAAAACCAACATTATGGGGTCAACATGATCAAAGTACATTGTACATATGTATGACATTCTCAAAGAATTAGGAAAAACTCTGAAAAAACAATATGGCAAAACTGAAGAGGGAAGCACTATGTTAGACATCTGTGATGCCTGCTGCCTTCTGCCATGGGAATGCCATAACTAACATTCGTGACTCAGGCACACGAGCTGTACTTGGGCGCTAACTTACTTGAGTCAGATCTGCTGCCAGCGTTGCCGTCCGAGTTGGAGAATACAGTCTGAATGGCAAGCTGGACTGCTTTCACTTCATCCTGAGGCTTCGTTCTACTCCACTGAATCGAGTGGACATGCTTAGTGAGTTTTGGGGTCCTAACATCACTCTGTTAAAAAAAGTTCAGGAAACCCACGATCATTCATATATTTGTGAAATGGGAGGGAAAATGCATGTTATGTCATTTGCCTAAATTAGTGAATTTGGATAAAAAGAACATTTTAACCACACTTCCCATAATGAACTCTATACTTTCTTTTTTTTCCTTCTTCCTTCCTCTCTTTCCCCGTCCTATAACCCTTTCTACTTATTATATTACCTTATTATATTACAGTATTTAAAATAGGTAAGATACTTTCTTGACTAAGTGAGCACTGACCACCGTTTCACTTAAGTGTGCCTTTGGCCCAAGGGCCCTGGGAGACACACAGGAATCAGAAGGAAGTGCGGCGGCCACAGGGTGGGTGCAGGTGAGCAGGTGCACAGTGAGGCGGGATGGAGAGTGAGGAAATCCAGTATCAGGAGAGGACAGCAGGTTAAGAAGACAGTCTTATCCTGAAAAGCCCTCATCACCAGACACACCTTAGGGTACCAACTCTAGCTCAGCACAACACAAGGCAGCAATCTCTAGGATTCAATACAGTTATGAAAGTATGTCTTTAGTGGTGCACACCTTTAATCCCAGCACTCGGGAGGCAGAGGCAGATGGATCACTGGGAGTTCAAGGCCAGCCTGGTCTACATAGCAAGTTGGAGACCAAACAGGGTTACATAGAAAGATCTTGTCTCAAAAAAGAAGGGGAGGAAGAAGAGAGAAAGGGAAAAAATGTCTTTAAAAACTGGAAAATGAGAAATGTAGAGGTGGCTTATTATCATGGAGTCTAAGGGAGAGGAAAAGAAGAAGAAAATGAGAGGGAGGAAAGGGAAGAAAGAGGGGAGGCGGAGGGGAGGAGAGGAAGGGCAGCAAGAAGCAGGGTGTGGCATGTCTGCAGCAGACGGAGCTGGAGTCCGGTGCTCTAACTGCCTGGCTAAAAGGGGGCTTTTCCTGGGAGGCGAGGGCCTGTCACCAATTGCCTTGCAGGCTATCTAGTGAGGTTGACAAGGCTGGGTCTCCGACTCTAAAAGGCTAGAGTGTGATAACTCAGGAAACCATCTCAAGGCAGCAGCATGCAAAATCCAGTCTAAGGGAGACTTCCC